ACAGAAACCTCATTGGCTAGGACGTGATTGACAGATTAGACTCCACCCCTTCACTCTTAAGCCTTGCAAATTGAAAAAACAATTATATAACTACCACACAAACAAAACTCAAATTTTGGACCAAACTCATACTGGACCAATAGAGACTAGAAGAACATCTGAGAATATCATCCTAAAGCAGTTAATAGTGAGTATTAGGATTAAAATGTGACTTTAGCTATACTGGATAGAAATTCCTTTGTTGGCATGCTTACAGACAGATCACATTTAGCAGAATTCTTTATAATATTATTTTCATTACTGAACACTTACCTGAACTTATAACTATGTTCTTTTCCCTCATACTTTAGAATGAGGAAGCAGTACGACGTCTCATCTGGGAAAAGAATCTAAAGTTTGTGATGCTTCACAATCTAGAGCATTCAATGGGCATGCATTCATATGATCTAGGCATGAACCACCTGGGAGACATGGTAGGTAAATTACAAGCAACCCTACCTTCGTGTCTAATTGAACCTGGTTTATTCCTTTCCCAAAACTATTTGAATGGTATCAACAATGGCACAAAGGAAAACAGCACTCTGTGTATCTGCACAGTTAGAAAACATTAGCAACTATGGATAAGAGCGTTTGCACAGATTCATTTTTTATTATTTTAATTAATTTATTTATTAAGATTTTCTTTCTTTCTTTTTTTTAAATCATTTTCTTTTTTAGTCCAATTTTGACCACTCTCCTTAACACCTTCTTTACAGGAATATCTTAAATTCGCCAAATACTCTGGTTTTTATTTGTTATAAGTTCTAGAGAGTACTGCCCTAAAGACTATCTCCTCACATTTTGTTTGACAGCAAGTCATCACTGAGCCTTCAGGGATCCTGAATTTGTGGTTTGGCTGTATGATTAGAGGAAATACGCATTTCCAAATTGCCGTTCCTGGGTTTTTGTATTTTTACATTCGTTTACTTAAGTCTAAATTTAATATGGTTTACTTATGTTCTTAATGGGCAAGTGTGGATATTTAATATCACAAATATCTCCTCTTAGCTCATAGCTAATGTATACTGTTCTATTCTTCAAAATTTTACTAGTGTTGCCATATTCTCCTGAGAGAACACCTTAGCTAGACCAACGTCCCACTTAAATTAAGGATTCTCTTTTACAAGTCTTTCTCACAAAGAAAACCAGTTCAGTCTGCTTTTTGGATAGTCCTTTTCATACAATTTCTGTTTGTTTGAAATAAAAATTACGCTTCTTTGTAACTTCTGATTTTTACCTCCTCCCCCCTCCCACCTCTATGTGGGTGCCCTGCGGGGATACTAATACAAAGTGCAAGACTAAAAAGAGCTAGGTCATTCATTCGTTCGCAATAAAAAGTACCTTTGTTGGTCAATGTCCCGACCCGCAAGCGGACCCTGAAGGAGGGAGTGGGAATTGAGGAGAACAAGAGACACGAGAAATAGAGACAAAACAGTATTCTGATCAAGTCTCTCTTTATTGAGTGAAGGGTTGCAGCCTATATAGGCCAGGGGAAGGGAAATACCCATCGCACATGTAAATTAGGCCACTTTGGTAATAGACCAATCAAGGAGTCCGGGGGAGCGCGCCCTCAGTAACAGTTTACAGTCTTCAACCAGGTCCGAGAAGTGATGTCATTTTATGCAAATCAGGTGCAGGCACTAGATATGTAAATAGGGTGAAGACAATCTCCTACCCAATCAAGGGGAAGCAGGATATGGGTCCTTTGTCACGCCATGTGTGGAAACCCCCTTATCTGTTTCTAGGCAGACTTGAAGGCTAAACTCAGTCCGTCCCCAGGACAGGCTATTCAGAGGGGAGATAACCTAATCACAAAACTATGTCACGTAGGAGGGAATGGAAAAGTACTGCAAGCTCTGACAAAATATAGTGAAGATTGAGCCAAATGGCCCCGGACAGGTCAAAACTACTGCTGGTGTTTCTCAGTTTCAAAATAGATTCCCAAGTAGTTATTAGAATATTGAAATGAGTATTAATGAAAGAAGATATGTATTTGCTTTGTAGACCAGGGAAGAAGTGACGTCTTTGATGAGTTCTCTAAGAGTTCCCAGCCAATGGCCGAGCAATAGCACTTACAAGGCAAACCTTAATCAGAAACTGCCTGACTCTATGGACTGGAGAGAGAAGGGATGTGTTACTGATATAAAATACCAGGTAAGTATGATCGTCCCAGACTTCCTTACCCCAGGTTGGACTCTTCCTCTTCCTTAAATGCTTGGTGCAGGTGCTTAAGATGGCAGTAAATTTCATTGTCCACTACTGTACTTTCTAATTAATTTGTTATTCTAGTTTTCCCAATTAAATTATAAACTCCTATATACAAATATTATACTTAATTTCTATTCTCGATCTGCACACAACACTAGTGGTTTGATACGTACTAGATAAAAACTGTGGAGTAAGCAAATATGTCTTCAGGACAAATGCTTAGTAGCCAAGCTATCCACTGACTACACTGGACCCTTCACCGAGCCAGTTGCATGTGCACTTGTGTGTATCTGACATATGAGTTCTTTCCTGTCCTCCACCCTGAAACTCATAAGTTAGACAGAGAAGTAAATGCCTTGAGTTGCCATGTGCATATACACACACACAGAGAACAAATAAGTGAATTCCAATTCAGTGCCACCTTATATAGGGTTTCAGTGGTGTATCTTTACAGGGCCAGCTAGCAGTCCAGAGCTTGCCTAACAATGCCACTAAGGTTCCTCATAAGTTACAGTAGTCAGGTTAATTCATGGTTAAACCAAGACCAAATCTACTGCCATCAAGTCAATTCTGACTCATAGGGACCCTACAGAAAAGGGTGGAATTACCCCATTGTTGGTTACATATTGGGCTGCTAACTGCAGGGTCAGCAGTTCGAAACCACCAGCTGCTCCAAAGCAGAAAGATGAGGCTTTCTACTTTCATAAAGATTTAAAGTCTCAAAAACCCTAAGGGGCAGTTCTGCTCTTTTAGGGTCACTATGAGTCAGAATTGACTTGATAGCAATGAGGGTTTTTGTTGTTGTTGTTTTTGAGTTGACGGTTTCCAAGGCTGTAAATATTTATGGAAGCAAAATGCCACATCTGTATCCCAACAGAGTGACTGGTGGAGTCAACCACTAACCTTCTAGCTAGCTACTGAACTCTGAACTACTGAGTCACCAAAACTCCCTCAATTCATAGTTTGGCTTGTATATTAGAGTGTGAAATATAAGCTTGACAAACTTGTTGTTTGTAGTTTGTTCTATTTTCATTTTTTTCTTTAGTTTGTTTGAAAGAAAACCAAAATCACATGAAAATAATATCCTAGACAGGTTAGGAATAACTGAGAATAAATGCGAGAGTAAAGCAGCCTCTAACAACCGCAGGGTGCGTAGGCGCAACTGTGGGGCTCTAATCTGTAAAGATTATCATAAAGTCATAGAGAATAGGAGAGATAGGAGAGTGAAATAAAATAAAGGAGTCAGACACATTTTATGGTAGCACGCTCACCCCCAAGATGGCCATGATTTCAGCAGCCAGATCCGAGCAGAGAGCGAATCTTTACTGTCTTGGAATATTTATAGGTAGCCATTCAGTGGTTAATACATCACAAGGTGGGCATTAACCATAGTAAAGTCCCTGAGCTCACAGGTGAGAAAACCTAATACCTGCATTAGGGGAAGGCATGAGGGGGGATGGGTGCCGCTGTGGGAGGAGATAGCAAGAATGTCTTCTATAGCAGTGGTTCTCAACCTTCTTAATGCTGCAACGCTTTAATACAATTCCTCATGTTGTGGTGACCCCGTATGTAGGAATATCTGCATGTGGGTGGACCTACCTGGAGGCAGATAGAGGGGAGGTGTCTCGGTTCCTAAGACCATCATAAATATGGTCTTAGGTGTTCCCTGTGAAAGGGCTTTTCAAACCCCCAAAGGGGTCGAGACCCCCAGGTTGAGAAGCACTGGTCTATAAGGAGACAGAATCACCCATGTGCTCACTTTCAGGCAGCACAGCTGTTAGGGGAGGATCTGTGGGAAGGATATCTGAGGCAGCATATTGTACTTGGGCTTTATCTCTAACTTACCGAAGTGGTGACTTTCCTACCGTGGAATCCTAGCTTTCCAGATTCCCTCTGTTACAAGTTAGGGGATATCATCCTCCTCATATTTCCCTCAGTGTCAGCTTCCCACAAATAAACACATGTGTCACCTTAGAGGTCGGGGAAGAGAGGAGAGTCAGAAGATCCTGAACAGCTGTCCCACTTGTACCAATAAAGAAAGCAAAAAACTATTACACTGTGAATAGTACAGCAAATCTTTTGTTCTTTTCCACCTAGAGATTTTTCTTTCAACCAGTCTGGGGCTTCTTACTCTAGCTTCTCTAAAATAAAAGTTTGGGAAGACCTAGCAAATTACACTTTTAGGTAATTTAATATGCTATTTTTTCCCTCAAGACTTACATCTTATTGGAGGGTTTTTCCTTGAATTGAACGCCATTTCCACTTGCTTTCGTGAGTAGAGAGCAAAGTGGGAGGGAGGGAGAAGAAAGAGAGATCGTGAGGAGCCCCCGCCCTTCTGTACCCTTTTAACCAAAGCAGCTTTGTGTTTTTCTTTGTTTATCCTTCCTGGCAGAATATCTATTGATTAAAAATTTGGGAAATGGGAGCGGGGAGGGAGGGGAAAAATGAGGACCTAATGTCGGGGGATTTAAGTGGAGATAAAATGTTTTGAGAAACGATGTACAAATGCGCTTTACACAATTGATGTGTGTATGGATTGGGATAACAGTTGTATGAGCCCCTAATAAAATGTTAAAAAAAAAATTTGGGAAATGAGATATTTGAAAAGTGCTAATCTAGAATCAAAGTTCTCATATTTCAGCCTTCATTTGACACAAAGAAGGATTTTTTTTAAATCAAGGAAATCATCCTAGGTCCTCTCAAAATCCCTTTTCTCTAGACATTTACCTCCCTTCTGTATGTGGGAAGAACTCCCGCTTTAAGAAGCTGGGATTTGGAGCATGCCCATTACCTACATGGCAGTTATACTCTGACTCAGTCTTTTTGCAAATATATATCCAGGCTAGACCTTGCTCAGAGAACAAAAGAAAAAACTAAGTGTTTAGTTTTAGTTTCCATTGTCTAGGATAGGAGGAAATTGTAGTGGGGGAGCTCTTTCTGGGAACTACTGACGGGGCTGACTTGGTCTGGAATTGCCCAGTGTGTGTTGCAGAAGTCATTCTGACCGACTTCCCCTGTGACCTGGCCTCTGTTGCAGGGTTCTTGCGGTGCTTGCTGGGCTTTCAGTGCCGTGGGAGCCCTGGAAGCGCAGCTGAAACTGAGAACAGGAAAGCTGTTGTCTCTGAGTGCACAGAACCTGGTGGATTGCTCCAGTGAAAAATACCAGAATCATGGCTGCAATGGTGGCTTCATGACAGAAGCTTTCCAATACATCATTGATAACAAAGGCATCGATTCCGAAACTTCCTATCCCTATAAAGCCATGGTATGTAACAAGTACACCTCGAGTTATCCCCTGACCACACTGGATTTCTCCCCAAGCCAGGCTTTGCTTTCTCAGACACTCCCAATTGGGAATTTTACATTCTTGAGTTCTCTTTCTGATATAGTCATCTTCTTAGTTCATGGGGCACACTGTTATTGTTGTTCTTAAGTAAATAGAACTCATGCTGAAAACATAGATTTTAAGTTGAAATTTAAGTTTGTTCACCTTGCAACGGCTCATGAAAGTTCAACCTTATGTTCCAATCACTGATCGCATCAGAAGCTAAACAATGCTGTCCTCCTCCTCAGGAGGTCATTACGCATTTTGTTATGCAATACAATACATCCATAAATAAAAGCTTCAAAAGCCTTAAAAGATCCCAAACTCTTACTATTTAACTATTATGACTTTGGCTTATTTCTTTCCAGTTTATCTCCCCTAAAACATTTGAAAAACATAGCGGTGTATACGAAAGTGAACTTGAGAATTTAAACATTCCCGGTTGGGATTCTCTAGTATGACAAATATACATCTGTAACCTTCCTTTTCCCGTTTGAAATATCCTTTAAGTGTGTTCCATATTTTGTGGGCCTTATTAACCATCATTTTAACTTTAGATCATCAGCAACAGACATTGCCCTCTGTCTCTGTGACGTTCAAATCTGTCTTTCATGTTGCGGTCACTATGGTTTGGGGGGGTGTTTTTTCTTCCAAAACCATTTTATCGGGAGTTAATTCAGATATCACAGCATTCCATAATTTAATCACATCCAACAGTATTGTACAATTGCTACCACAATCAGTTTCAAGGCATTCTTTTCCTTCTTGAACTCTTTGACATCAGCTACCTTTCAACCCCCACCTGTGCCCCCACCAACCTTATTCTACTTGCTGTCCCCCTATAGGTTCATCCATCCTGGGTTTCATATACTGAGAAACATATAACAAAAATTCAAGAGGATGACACCCCCCCCCCAATGACATAACACACCTGAGATAGAACCCAATGTAAACACACACAAAAAAATACAGAAAATACTGAAAATCAGATCAGGCCTAACGTGTATCAGCATGGGGGACCAACTGACAAGGCTGAAGAAACTTGAACGCTAAGAGAAAGTTCAGGGGTAACAGTAGGTTGGCAATGACAGGGGAAAGTGAGAATGACCCCACAAACCGGACAATGCCACCAACGCCACTGTTGACACATAGTGAAACTACGGGATTGGCATGTCTCCCAACAGAAACAACAGAATACATAAAAATCGATGAAATGCATAATGCTCGCGCTCTGGGTGCTTCATAAAAGAAGTCGAAATATACCTCTGTATCTATTATATCTGTTGCAGGATGGAAAGTGCCAGTATGACCCCAAAAAACGAGCTGCCACATGTTCAAAGTACACTGAGCTCCCCTCTGGTGATGAAGATGCCCTGAAAGAAGCTGTGGCCAATAAAGGGCCCGTGTCTGTTGCTATAGATGCAAGCCATTCTTCTTTCTTCCTCTACAAAAGTGGTAACAATTCAGAATGTATTATCCTCTTTTTATATGCTGACCTTGTACTATTAAAAAGACCTTATTCTTCCCATTGCCCCACCTCTAACTGGTCAGATAGGTTCAACAGAACCCTCTATTTCACATGTTAGCTTTGTTTTAATGCCCAATTCTGATTCGTAAAGTAACAATCAAGGCTTTCTAACCTTGACTGCTATGTGCTCTGTTAAATTCTAAATGTGCACTGTCTTGTTTAATGGTGGCCTGCAGGCATACAATGTGGAAGGAGTGGAACTGGGATGAGAAACCATGCTACTTGAGTCCCCAGCCTGTGCTTGCACCATTATAAAAGCTGTGTAGTGTAAGTGTAGCACTGTGAGGTGTGGGGGAAACCACAGCTATCATGGTTCAGTAGGCGCAATTGTATGGCTATGATATAAAAAGATTATAGTAAAGTCATAGAGAATAAGAGAGAAGAGAAGGTAAAATAAAGGAGTCAGACACATTTCATAGTAGAATGCTCACCTCAGCCCTTCTTGGTGGTCTACGTGGGGATGTGGGAGGTGGAAAGGGCAGGAGAAATCATTTATTTCTAAGCAAGGCTTATATATCTTTGGGGGTGGTGATTACAGGTCACAGGAAGGGGCTGCACAATAGGCATATGTGTGACAGGAAGGGGATGAGCTAGGGGTCTATAAGCAATAGGAAGGGGAGGGATTAGAGGTACACATGTGACAAGATGGGCGGACCCTAGACTCAATATGGCAGCCTAACCTTGGTCACCCTTGAGTAGGCTTGACCTCCCTGGGCTCTCCTTCAGGGAAACAATCTACTACTATCCTTATCAGAAGGGAGTGGGCCCTATTTAGGGTGGGACAGACTATACAGTCTGATTGCTCTAGATGACTGATAATCCTCAGGGAGAATAACTTCTGTCCTACTTTAGTTGACCTCCAAGTATATAGTTGTTTGCCATATGTAACGGGCAGCATCTTAGGTTTGGTGTATATTTGGAGGACACAACTTGGGAGAAATCTTTCTGTATCCCACAGTGAGGTACGTTTTTAAAGAGGCGGAGGCTTGAAAAAGTTATTCACAACTATATTAACACACTTTCTGGGCACCTACCAAGTGTAGAACATTGTATTGGACAGTATAGAAGGCTAGGGTCTGTTTGTTTAACAACTCAAAGAGCATTTATTCTATTAAAGGATGAAAATGTCTGAAACAAACAATTAGAAATATATACAAAGGAACATAAAAATACTGGTTATAATCTTTTAAATAACTAGGAAAAGGTAGCAGCTTATCAAAGAATGTGACCAAGGGCCATGATTGAATTGATACCAAACTTGGCAAGAAAATTGACAAACATGGTGCTGATGGCAAAGGATTATGAATGCTAAGTAGTTCAAGCATGAGAGTATATGTGCATAACATTTCAATTAACTTTATCACATATTCAAACCAGTCTCATAAAAAAGTAGTATTTTCAAATGTCCTTCATTGTTACATCCATTCACTCTCTTCCTTCACTCACATTTTATTCTCAGGTGTGTACTATGACCCATCCTGTACTCAAAATGTGAACCATGGTGTACTGGTGATTGGTTATGGTAACCTCAATGGAAAAGACTACTGGCTTGTGAAAAATAGGTAAATACATTCATCTATATGTATATGTAATTAAAATCAAGAATTTGAAGAGGTCCTCAAGCAATAATTTCTGGTGCATATGATGATAATGTTCGTGATATGTACCATAATAAACCTAGGCACATTCTTAGGGAATGACATTCTAAATTCCCCAGTAGCTCCCTTTCTATCTTCAATTCCTATTCTGCTTTCACTATTTACCCTCTAGAATAATTCTTGGCTCATTCTCAGAAATTCAACATTTAACTTTGTGAGGACCTGCCAAATTGTCTTCCATACCAGTGTAACCATTGAACATTCCCACCAGCAAAGGATACAGAACTTCTTTTTGAAAACTGGGTCCCAAATAACAACCAAACCCACTGCCCTGGAATCAGGTCCAACTCACAGCGACCCTACACAGGGTTTCAGAGGCTTTAGAGCTTAACAAGAGCTGATGGCCTCGTCTCTCTCTGAGCTGCAGGTGGGTTTGAACCGTGGACCCTGCAGTTGAAGTTCAATGCTGATCTAACAACACTACAAGGGATGATTAGTCAGTCATCTTAGGTTGGTTTTGTTTGTTTTTTTGTATTGCTGGGTCTTTTTTAACTTTTCATTGTGAATTAGGTGAAGGTATACTGAGCAGATGGCCAGGGTTACATTCAGCAATTCATACACATTTTGATTCAACTCACGAGTTGCAATCCCCTCAGTTTCCAATTTCTTCTGTTTCCTGTTTCCATTCCTCCTTATTTCCTAACCCTCAGAACTTTGTCCCTGGGTAAAACACTTCCTTTGGTGGTGTAGTGGTTACAGGTTGGTCTGCAATCCTCAAGGTCAGCAGTTGGAAACCACTAGCTGCTCAGCGGCTCTACTCCCATAAAGCCTTAGTCTCAGAAACTCACAGGGGCAGTTCTACCCTGTCTTATGGACTCACTATGAGTTGGCATGGACTCAATGGCCATGAGTTTTAATCTTAAATGAGACTATTGATTATTCTAACATCGGGTGAGTTCAGTTCCAGACCTGAAGGTTGACTCAGGGGGTCGTATCAGTCTGTCTTATCAGAAGTCTTGTTCCCTTTTATGATTTTGAGTTCTCTTCCACATTGTCTCCTATTCTGTCCCCAACCTTCTAACACAATTCTTTCAGAGCAGGTGGGAGTGACAGCCAGGCCTCATTTAATTCTTCTGGTCTTAGAGTTGTGGTGACTAATGTTTATTTGGTTTATTAAAAGAAAGGTATATAAATGTATGAATGTATTTTTAAGTGAATAGACTCTACTTGAGTCCAATCATATCTAGTTAATAATAGGCATAGCCACCTAGTGCATATTTACTATGACCTAAATACTGTGCAAGTATTTTAACTATATTTTCTCATTTAATTTTGAAAGTAACCTTATAGGAGGGTATTTTTTCCCTTGTAATAGAGATGAAGAGGAGCCCTGGTGGCATAGGAGTTACCCATTGGGCTGCAATTTGTATGGTCAACAGGTGTTCAAACCCATCAGCCCCTCTGAGGGAGAAAGCTAAAGCTTTCTACTTCTGTCAATGGTTAGATTAGTGGAAACTCACAAGGGTAGGGCTACCCTGCCCTTTAGGGTCACCATGAATCAGAATTGACTCAATGGCAGCGAATTTAGCTTTGGTCATGCAGATTATTAAGAGGTTCCTGAAATCAAGAGAGTTAAGAAACATGTCCAAAGTTAAACTGTTGGAATGTAAGAGCCAATTCCAATCCAATGGCGAGGATTGGAATGAACATTTGGAGCAGACTTTGCACATACATGAAGGCCAGAATTGGTCCTCTGATGTTTTATTTAGTTTGAGGTTGTGCTTGTTGAACTCCTTACAGGATAGTTAGCAGGACTCTGTCAGGAAGAGGACTTCTTTACAAAGTAGTTTCCAGTCTGTAAACTGGGAAAAGTTCATAAACAACTGGAAAAAGTAAGATAGCCAGATGTTGAATGGGACCTGGGGTTCTCTTATCTCACTGGCTTGATTCACACTACTTATAACTAGAATTGCAAATCAATTTTCATTATCTAAACAAAGTTCCAAAGCCAATCCATATAAAATGGGTTATATGACCTGTTTTTCCCAAGGGAAGTATAAAATGTCTATGGTAAAATATGAATTATGTACAATTCTGGATATTCTGGTTTGAATTTCATTTCCACACGCTACTTTACTCGCAGGGACAAAGTAGAGAAAGAAATCATGTTAACATTAGTCTAGTATCGGGACTAGAACAATCCTAGATTTAAATCATGGCTTTTCCATTTACCCTATGTTTGACTCTAAGCAAGTCACTTTGCCACTCTGCCCTTCTGTTTCCTCTTTAGTTAAAGAAGAAAAAGAAAAAGAAAAAAAAGACACCAAACTCCAAAGTGATAACTAAGTGATAGTTATGCATTAAGCTCCTCGACACAGAGGATATGCTCAATAAAGGACAGCTATGCATATTAATCATAACTTGGCCAGAATTTATCATTACTGTTTTTGCTGATCAAACTGAATACTGAAAGAGCACTATATCCACTCATAAGAGGTTAAAATAGAATTTGAATTTTATTGTAAACTTATGAGGAGTTATGAAAAGCTTTTAGGCAGGGAAACAACAATTAAATAAAAGGAAGCTCAAAAATAAATAAATAGATAGATAGATAAATAAAAGCCAAAAAGAGATTCCATGAAAAAAGAGTTCAAGGAGTGGCCAGAGAGGGAAATGAAAATCGGGTCACAAGAGTGTCTTCTAGTCAAGAAAAATGAGATGATAGTAGACAACGGTGTTAAATACTACAGAGAGAGAAAAATAAGACAGACAGGTAAGTGGTGTAGAGTGAGTGGCTGATAACTAGAACATTGACGTCTTCTTAAAGCACAGACCCTTTAAAAGGTGCCACTTGTCTTCCTGCAGTGAATGCGCTCTTGTTAGTTTCTCCAGTGCGAGGGGGGAAAAACACAAAAAAACAACCCCACAACCTTCCTTTGTGTCCTTGAGCAAAAATTTGCAGTGGAGGCACCCCATTGCCTGTGGAATTGAAGGACAGACACTCCACCCCACCATTCTAAGCTCTTCACAATAGGATTCTAATTTGGCATTCCATCTCCTTTGCCCACAGCTTCCCTGCAGACATTCAATTATCTTTTCAACTAAATTTCGTGCTGCCTTTAAAACACACTAGACATTTTCTCATGTTTTTATTTATGTTCTCCTTCTATCACCAATGCTCTTCATTGTCCTGTTTATCCTCTGTGCAAGTTGGTTACTACTGCTGCCTCCTGCTCCATTCAACTTCTATTCCTTAACTCGTCCTAATACTTTTTTCCTAGTTATTGTAACATTTAATAAATTCTGACTCGTAATTATTTATCTACTTAAAAGTGGTTAGTCTCAGAATCATAAGGAACTTCAGAGATCATTTATCTTACAAGGATTTTGTCCATTGGTTATGTGTTGGGCTGTTAACCATGAAGTCAGCAGGTTCCAAACCACCTGCCACTCTGTGGGAGAAAGATAAGGTTGTCTACTCCCTCCAAAGATTTATCATCTCAAAAACTCATAGGGGCAGTTCTATCTTGTCCTATAGGGTTGCTATGAGTCAGCATAGACTCCATGATGGTGAGTTTGGTTTTTCAGTTTGTGGGAAAGTTAAAAAAAAAATTGTGGTATTCATAAACTTATTTTTTTCAACTTAAAGCACTCTCTTTAGAGATTATCTTCTATGAAATATTTTTTTCTTTCATGAAAGTTTTGTTGCTTTAAAAAAATCTATACTTGCAAAATATAAAAATGGGTGACTTCATGATAATCGGCAACATTCTTTTGAAGTTCTGTAAAGCTGGTGAAATCAAAACAAGAAAGCCATTCATTTGCTCTAGTCCAAATCTGACCCATGAATTCTCTCTGTAACAATTCAGGCAAGTGATACTTCCAGCTTCTGCTGATACACTTCTGGTGCCAGAGAATTCACTTCCTTGAAAGTGAATTGATAGCTTTAATTATGAGGCAATCATATCAACTCCATTTCTCGATTTAAAAACATTTTGAATGCTGCATTTTTTTATTATCTTAGAAATCCTTGCCCTATGACTTGTTGGGCATTGCTGGGTTAAGTGCTAACCAAAATGTCTCCAGTTCAAATCCACCAACATTCCATGAGTGAAATGTTAGATTATCTACTCCTGAAAAGATTTTTAGCCACAGAATTCTTATTTAGGATCTCAATGAATCAGAATCAACTTGATAGCAGTGAGTAATAACTTTCATCATAATTGCTCAAAAAATGTTCTTGCACGAATTTAAGTTTAATAGAAAAATCATCATTTATATTCCTATTTTGTAAAGCTATTTGGAGAGGAACCTTGTAAAGATATTATTTTCCCTTGAGAAAGTGTATAGACAAAGCATGATTATTAAGAGTAGGATGGACTGTATATGTTAGATCTCTCAGGGAAGAGATAGACCTCAGTTCTTGGCTCCACGCGAGATAGAATTCACGCCGAAGCCTGGTTTGTGATCCAAGTGAGTTTTGTGAGAGTTAGAAGTTTCAGGATTACACAGGCACCTGCAGGGCCCCTCACCCCGTGCAGCCTCCCTAGAAGCTGCTCAGAAAGTGACTGGTCGGCTCAGGGCTCCTGCCTTTTTCAATTATTCCACAGCGAGGCATGGTGGACAACCCTGGTCGACCCCATTGGCTGAACTGAATTTACCTGGCCTAGGTGGGCCAATCCAGGTACAGGGCCCACCCAGGTGTACCTCCCTTCCTAGCAGGAAACCTGAACCTCTGAGCATGCACAGTGTACCACTTCTTCATGAGCCGCCAGCTCAGACCTCTGGGCATGCGTAATGGATGCCCCAGTCCCTAAGCTAAACTACCTAACATGTATTCATATTATTTTCCTTAGATATTAAAAGTCTATTCATAGTATCATGTGAAAACTTTGCAAACTACCCTTTGAAAATTACCTAAGAGTCCTGGGGAAATTATTGTTTCATCCTAATTTCTTTTTATACTTTTTCACATGTACTTTTATACACTTAAGAGAGAAAACAATTTAAGGATAAAAACATTTGTAATATTATTACATTTTATTCATTTGTAATATTTTATTATTTCTCTTTCTAAAGCTGGGGCCTCAACTTTGGTGACCAAGGATATATTCGAATGGCAAGGAATCATGGAAATCACTGTGGGATTGCTAGCTACTGTTCTTACCCAGAAATCTAGAGGATCACTCTGTTTTGTAAAATGTCGAGGAAAATGAACCGCTTTCTTCTTAGTCTATCCTGTTGTAACCAGTAGAAATGTGGGCCAGGATAAATGCATTTTACTGTATTGATTAGAAAGCAGTTTGACTTCCTTTTAAACTTTGCAGATCTTGAAAAAAAAGTGCTTTGTAAATTAATAATGTACCATAACTGTGTGGCAATCAGTCAACCTAAGGCAAACTGTTGTGTTTTCTTTCTTTTACTCTATTTTTTTAACCCCTGACAGCCTTTATGATGGTGCTTACTAAATGTTTCTTTCAAATTCCTATCATTGTTACATACTATTCATAGGTGCATACATAGGTAACAATTATAATCCGTTATGTAGAGAATATACTTTAATGAGAGAAATTATGAAGTTATATTGAGGCATTGGTGGTTCTGTGACGGAATTTCCATGTCTCATGCTAGAGACCTGTTTTCCACTTCTGGTCAATGCAACTCATGCCCTGATGCCCCAGCAGCAAAATAAGGGTCAGAGGGCTCAGATTGTGGCCTTGTACATAAAAGCATTCAATAAACTGTTTTTTAAAGAATCTAAGCAAATGCTTAAAGGTCATCTGTTTTCAAACATTTTAGAAGAGCTATTTCAATAATAAATAAACTATTAGTTACAATTAATTTCATCTAGTCATTCAGTTTGATCAGGACTTTGTGTGTGTGTGTGCGCGCGCGTGCAAATAATTAAGTCAACCTGAGTAAAATAGCCAAACTGCATTTCTTTAAAAATATTCCATTACTCATATTTTTATTTACTTCAAGTTATGCACCTCACACAATTTCTCTAGATTAGATGAATTTTGTTTTGAACAAGCAGCAGGAACTTTAAATTTTGCAAGTCAATGCCTATGACATGAAAAGTGGGTGGAGCAATGTCACTAACAGATCTTAAGCAACTACTTCCCTAAAGATGGATGGTTTGAGCCCAACTAGCAGTGCCTCGGGAGAGAGGACGGATGATCTGCTTCCAAAAGGCTACAACCTTGAAGACTCTAGGAGCAGTTCTACTTTGCACACTTGAGGTCACTAAGAGCCAGAATTGATGGCAACTAACAACAATATTGACCTTAAACTATTATCGTTATTTTTGGCTGTCTCACCATAAAGCACATTTTAAGGAACAAGAATTGCAAAACCAAAAACGTGGACATTATACATGGTAATCCATGAAACATGTAGAGAAACATTACAGTTTAAAAGTATTCAGTTAATTTGTTTTTAGCATAAATTTTGTTTTGCCCACAAAAGTAACTCTAAGTGGAACGAAACCAGTAGTTCTTGATCTTCGTGGGGCCTTAGACACTTTTAGCAGTCTAGGGAAGCTTACGGATGCCTTCTCAGAATAATGTTTTTCAATGTGTAAAATAAAATACATATGATTAGAAAGGATCACAATTAGATTGAAATACAATTATAAAATCATTAAAAAATACATAAATTATTTTTAAAATTGTGCTGTCATACAATACATGATTCTGTAGATGAGGGAAAGTGAAAAGAATTGCTAAAAAAAATCATAGAAGCCTTTCTTAAACAAAAATTAAAAAATGTGAAGCCATTATCTTTTGGCATATCCTCCAAGTAGGTCTCTCCAACTCTTCCTCCTAAAAATCCACGCCCTTCAGTTTACATCAGGTCAAAACTGCAGTTTTAGCATCCTTGAGGGACTGAAAGGATATTCTTTTTTTTGAAAGGATATTCTTTTAAAATATTCTTTGAGTTTGAAAAGTAAAAGAGAAGTCTGAAGAGGCAAGATCAGGCCTATAGGGTGGATATGGTAAGCTTATTTATTAAATTCTCCTAGGATAGTCCTTAAAGAATGAGTAGGTACATTGTCATGTGGCGGGGGTGGGGTGGAATCCTCAGTTTCCTGGCATTTTTCTCTTCAATGTATTTTTCAGTTTTCTTAAAACTTCTTCATAATAAGTAAAATTACTTGGTATGGCTCTTATGGCTCTTGGTATGGATAGCATAGTCTTTCTTTGTAGGTCCAACCATATAATTGGGCCACACTCACTCAACTCACTCACTGACAGTAAGTCCCTGCCTACTCACAGCAATCCTGTAAGGGAAGGTTAGAATTATCCCTGTAAATGTTTACAGGAACAGAAATCTCGTCTTTCTCCCGAGTAGTGGCTGGCAGTAAGACCATGAAATTTTGTTTTTAGATGCCATTGAGTCATTTCTGACCCACAGCAACCTTATGCCTGACAAAACCAAACACTGCATGATGCTGCACCATTCTCACATCTGTTCCCATGCCTGAGCCCAATGTTGCAGCCACTGTATCAATGCATCTCGTTGAGGGCCTTCCTCCTTTTAGCTGCCCTTCCACTTCAGCTAACAATGGGGTCCTTCTCCAGGGACTGGTCTCTCCTGACAATCTATATGTCCAAAGTATGGAAGACGAAGTCTTGCCATCCTTGCCTCTAAGAAGCACTCTGGCCATCCTTCTTTCAAGATAAATTAGTTTGTCCTTTAGCAGTTCATGGTACTTTCAATGTTCTTCTCCAGCACCACACTTCAAATACATCAATTCTTCTTTGGTCTTTCTTACTCAATGTCCAACTTTCACAAGCCTACGAGGCAATTGAAAATACCATGATTTGGATCAGGCATACCTTACTTCTCAAAATAAAATAACATCCTTGCTTTTCAATACTCTAAAGAAACCTGTGCAGCTGACTTACCAAATGCAGTATGTTCTTTAATCTCTTGACTGCTGCTTCCATAAATATCGATTGTGGATCCAAGCAAGACAAAATTGTTGACAACTTCAACCTTGTCTCCATTTATTGTGGCTACCTATTGGTCTAGTTGTGAGGATTTGTTCTTTACATTGGGTGCTAATCCATATGGAAAGCTTCAGTCTTGTGCAAACCATGCCAATAGGGTGTATGAAATGCTAACAGAGAAGATCAGTCAGTTTTTCCATTCCACTGGGCATGCAAATGCGCCATCTCAGAAGCTAGAAGAGAGAGAATCCCATGACCAGTGAAAGGAACCACGCTTGTCTGGGATCCCTGCGTGGAGAAGTGGAGGCAAGAGAAACCATGAAGAAGGGGCTGTGGCGGCAGCAGGGACCAGCAGATAGAGCAGCTGGTTTTCTGGTCCACACAAGAGTGCCTTTGGGCAGCAGACTGGCTTGCAGAGTGAGATGCCCTTTGAGCATTTTCCAGTGCCAAAAAAGCTTTGTAACACTTCTCTAAGCAGGGCAGAGTCCAAGACCAGAGAGAGATGTGCTTGCTGGGCTGTACCCTTAGTGTTCTTTTATCTTGACTCATTGTGACTTGTTAACTTCCCTACCAAACACCCATAACCATGAAAAAAAAAATACACTTTATAATAACATATTCCCCGCCCCCACCCCCACCCTTGATCATCGTATGCTCTATGAGAAAATCTATCTTGATTAGCCCTTTGGAATCACAAAATACAGTTGCCATAACCTTCTGAGTTGACTTCTCTGTCTTAAATTTACCTGGTCTAGCAGATCCCATCAGAAGCACTGTTTCAAATGACTGGACCATTTTTTAAAGTACCCTAAGGAGACTGAGACTATTCATTGTATGACTGAGAGAAACTGGCTGCAGCATCTACTGACTGTTACACATGTTTTCTTTGGAATGAACCCATGCCCGTATGAACTGGAACCCTGGTAGCAATACTTGATCCTTGCAAATGCATTAAATAGCAAGAGTTAATAATGCTCCTAAATTTGAAGTAGCTATGAAAATAAATTATATTTTGAGCAATGAAAATAATATTTTTTTAAACTGTAAAGTAATATAAAAATACCTAGGTTTTCTTTTGGTGATAAAGTCGCAAGTATTGCTAAATTACTACAGTTTATGGACTATGTCCAGAAGAAACTACTACGTTTCAGAGGCTAATAAAAGTGAATATATAAGTTTTTTCCCTATAAAATTCATTATTTACCTGCATTCTCTCCATGGATCCCTTGGAAGGTGGTCTATAGACCCCAAGTAAAGAACCCTTGGACTGGACCAGTGATGAAGTGTTTTACAAAAATCTTCAATGTATGTCCAACATAGGACATTTTGACAATAAGTCATTTCAGACTGATAGAAATAAAATATTGTTTTAAGTTGCAGTAAAATACAAGTAGATAACCACACAAAATGTATGGTTCTGACCAATCTTCAGTGTACAATTCAGTAACATTAGTCACATTCACCAAGAAGTGCAACTGTCACTCTTATCCATTAAACATTTTTATCACCCAAAAATAAATGTCCATAATTAATTGCCATCTAACAATTCCAAGCCACAGTGACCCTATAGGATAGAGGAACTACACCATAGGGCTACCAAGAGTGTACATCTTTATGGGAGCAAATACTCTCTTCATTCTCACATGCCACCAGGGCTCCTTTTATAAACTATAATTGTGAGGGAAATATAAAGCAAAATAATCCTTAGGTCAACACTATCTGACCCTGAAGTATAATTCTTGTCTGAATTCCTTGGGCTGAATCCTTCAGCAAACCTTTTCATAACTGAGGTAGCTGTTTTCTAACTGGTACTACAAATATATCAAAGTTTATGAATAATATGCGTATACTGCTTACACAATTTATTTGAACACATAACTAAGTATACAAAAGAAGCTATGGTAGTTACATAATCTGTTGTTGATTTGAGACTATTAAGAGTGAAGAGGTGGAGTTTAGCCTGTCAATCAGGTCACTTCTTGATGATCCCATTTGGAGGCGCTAAGGAGATAAATAGCTTGCTGGAGGACACATGCTCACTCCCTGTGAGACATTCCTGCTGATAAGGCACATGGAGCTAAGCTGATGACAGTCAGAGCCTTGGAACTGGAGGAGCCACCTGGAGACCCACGCCAGCTCTGAGATGCTTCCACTGTCACTGGATCCACAAGACTCGGCCTGTGTTCTTCCTGCATTCGGCATCATTGCATGTTTTGTGTGAGTCTAAAGAGGAATTTATGGACTAATATCAACATATGGGGTAATATTGGACTTATGGACTTGATCTGGACTAGGCTGGGATGCTTTCTTAATGTGCAATTGCTCTTTGATATAAAGTTCTCTCTTACACACATGAGTGTCTATGAATTTGTTTCTCTAGTCTACCCAGACCAACACTGAAGCTTATAATACAGGGGGCAGTTTAGCACCAATGAAATAAACAACACTCCTCTAGTTCTTTAATCCTTCCTCTCCCCCCATTATTATGATCTCAGTCTAATATCACAATTCCCACTAGTCCAGTGTTCAGACAGTGGCACAGACTAGAGTTTCCAATATACGGAATTCAGGAAAGACAACCCTCCTAAGAAACAGTAATGGAAACAACGATTCCAGGAGGACAGGGCAAGGAAAGGGGGAGGAAATAGGAGGGTGAGGGGGAATGGATAGCAACGATGGCAGAATAACCCCTCGCAGGGGAAGAATATCAAGATAGTAGATGAAGGGATAGAATGGGTAGTTTAGAATATGTATAAATAACAACAACAGTACATAATATATTAAGGGTTCGTGGGGGTGGCAAGATGGAAGAGGGAGGGGAAAAAAGAGGAACTGATATCAAAGGGTTCATGAAGAAAGATATGTTTAGAAATTGCTGATGCTAACAATTGTATGTGTCCACTTGAGATAACAGATGTATGGTTTGTTAATATATGTAAGAGCCCCCAATAAAATTATTTATTTTAAACAAAGAAATTTTACACAATTAGAAAGCTTGCTATAAAAATAAAACATTTTGAGAATGATGTACAAATGTGCTTTACACAATTGATGTGTGTATGGATTGCGATAACAGTTGTATGAGCCCCTAATAAAATGTTTAAAAAATAAAAATAATAAAAAGAAAACAGTATGCTGCAAGAACCCCCAATAAAATGATTTATTTATAATAAAAAAAAAAGTGTCTGGACCCTGGAAATAAAAGCTCATACTACTAGACAATCTCCTAAGTACCTGCCATCTCTGATTTTATTGTTCCTAAATGACTGAGAAAGATTGACAAGAATGGGATTTCCAGAACAGTTAACTGTGCTTATGTGGAGGTGTCCATGGATCAAGAAGCAGTTGTTCGAACAGAACATAGAATGCCGCATAGTTTAAAATCAGGAAAGGTGTGTGCCAGGTTGTAATCTCTCACCATAATTATTCAACCTGTATGCTCAGCAAATAATCAGAGAAACGATTCTATGAAGAAGACTGCAGCATCAGGATCGGAGGAAAGCTTAACAACAACCTGCAATGTGCAGATGACACAACCTTGCTCGTTGAAAGTGAGGAGGAATTAAGCACTTGCTGATGAAGATCAAATTTTTCAGCCTTAAAAAAATAAATAATTTTCAGCCATCCCGATAGAACAATGTCAAGAAAACAAGAATTCTTAAAAATGGACCAACAGGTAACAACACCGAGATGAACTGCGAAAAGAGCTGAAGTGGTCAAGGATTCCATCTGCTCATGGAAGCAGTAGTCCAGAGGTGAAAAGATTTTACATGAGGCAAATGTACTGCCCAAAACCTCTTTAAAGCGGTACAAAGCAAGGACGTTACTTGGAAATGTAAAGTACACCTGACCCAGACCATGGTATTTCCAATCGCCTCATATGCACGTGAAAGACACCGAACAAGGAACAAAAAACCACACTCACTGTCATCAAGTGAACACTGACTCAGAGACCGGACAGCACAGGGTAGAAGTGCCCGGCCCCTGCTGGTCTCCAACTGCGACCTCGCAGATCCCCGCCCGAAGCATCACCACCAGCGCTCCGATGAACAGGGAAGACCCGCGACGAACGGAGGCATTTGAATCACGGTTCTGGCAAAAATACTGAAGTACCACGGACTGGCGAAAGAACCAGCAGGTCCTGGCTCGGCAGAAGTGTGGCCAGAGTGCTCCTGTGCGGCAGGAGGCGAGACTTGTCTCACACCCTGGGACATGGCATCAGAAGGGACCAGTGACAACGAGAAGGCCCTGGACAAGATGACTGACGCGGTCAGGGCTGCACAGCGGGCTCAAACCTAAGCGCCCGTGTGCGGATGCGCGGACCGGCGGACGGAGAGCAACCCAGGGCTGGTCCCACAACGGATTCCCTGAAGACTTGGGACCCTATAAAGTGGAAATGTAATTGATTACGTGACAGATACAGTAACCAAACATTTTCTTAAATCAAATAAGAGGCATTAAAAGAATAATAATTTTTTAAAAGATGAATTAGATGACTGATAAGAACATTTTGGTCTCCACGGGAAAGCTCTCCACAACGTGAAGGCGTTGCACTCACAATTACTTCACCTTCTGGTATCGGCATCAGGCTTTCCGCCGTCGCTTTGGGTTCCCAGCATACTTTGCGCTGCTCTGGGCGGGAAAAGTAACATCAACTCGGGGTCAAAGGCCATTGTCTCGCCCTCGTGACCAACCGTTGAAAGAAAGCGCATGCGCCCTAGACCACGTGCATGCGCCCTCCAGCGCCTTCCTGGTCGCAGGAGTCCTGCCGGCCCTCAGACATTTCGTAATATATATACCGAATACGCATATTATTCTTTGCTTTTTGAATTCTCTTTCTGTCACCTCTCGATTACATTTGCCTTTTAGTCTCAGTGACCATAAGTTTGCGGGGAAATGTCTATCTTACTCTTCTTACAAGGTTCTTCAGTTTACGTCTCGGGTCTCACTAGAGTAGATTTATACTTTTGCGTGACATAAGCGCTTTTGTGAAGTTTGACTCTTCGGCAAACTTTTCTAGTTAAATTGGATCACTAAGAAAAATTAAATTGCGGAGAGCAGAACAACAAAAACTACGTAAAAATTTCAAGGCCCGTTCCTGTGAAGTAAATTCTGACTTAGTGACCCAAAATACCAAAGTTTATAGTTGAGCCATCAGAATCTGTCACAAAAATTTAAGTAATTTCTGTTGGCTGTCAGTTCCTTTTATGGCTGTGACACTATGAAAATACATTTTATTCAGGGCCATGCCAGAAGGAAACTTTCCTGATTTGGTTACTTTGAAACTACAAATTTAATAAATATAACTTTAGAAGATTAATAGGGCAGTTTTTCATTACATAACTACCAGCAAAATGCCATCAATGCTTAAAATACCATAAAAAAAGCTTAGGAAGATTGTGCCTTAAAAAAACCCAGAAGCTCGAGCTTAAAAAAATCACCTACTATGGAGGGGGGGATACCTGAATCTCAAAGAGTGTAGGGGTCCCAGCTTTCTACCCCAGAGAGGCTTGTGGTTTCAAACTGCTGACTGAGCATCACAACCCAATATAACCACTATGCCACTGGAACAGTGCCCAACAGGCAGTTGGTTTGAAAGTCTTATTGTGGTTTGGGTGGAAGTTTACAGAGCTAATTTTTTATTCCATTAGTATACATTTTGTTTCACGGCATTAGGTGCAATTCCTTCATCTTAAGAGCAATCATCCCAATCCTTCCCTGGGTCAGCTGTTAACATTTGTCTTTCTTTGGCCCCCTTCCGGCCTTCTGAACTTTCCTTTTGTTCAAATGTCACTCTCCTGGCTAATTGCTCTAAGGATAGCACGTTCCTCATAGGTGTTATTGTTCACTTTCTAGGCCTGTCTATTGATTAAAATTTTTATTCTTAATCCATTTATGTGAGGCATGCAAATGGCTTACATTTAAGACATTAGTCAAAAAACCCCAAAACCCTGATATGGAGTTGATGCCAACTCGTTCAATTGTTCTGCTTTATAGAACAGAGTAGAACTGCCCCTGTGGGTTATGGGAGTAGAAAGTGTCTTCTTTCGTGGCAGAGTGCCTGGTGGTTTTCAACGGCCGACTTTGTGGTTAGCAACCCAACTCATAATGACTAGGCCACCAGGGCTCCTAAGGCATTACTGACAATAGTTATATAGCTATGTGATCTGCACTTTTAAAAAATATTCCATTTTAAGTAAAATGTTCTATTCAAATAATATTCTTTTTTTTTTCTTTCAAATTTTGAATTACTTAAAAAAAAATTTTGAATTACTTAAATTCTTTACAAGAATCTAGAACACCATTTTGTGAGAATAAATCCCCTTTGTGAACGCAAAGGTAGCACGCAAGTAGCCATGGAGCCATGGAGCTGGGGAACAGCTTTGAAAAAATATGGAACGCTTTACGAACTTGCATGTCATCCTTGCACAGGGGCCATGCTAATCTTCTCTGTATCGTTCCAATTTTAGTGTATGTGCTGCTGAAGCGAGCACTCAAATAATATTCTTACACTAGAATGTTAGGGATAAAAGTAAGTTCTGAATTTAATGAAAGCTTATATTTGTATCACAAGGTTGAATTAAAGAAAATACTATAACAGAAGATGGCCACTGCACAGTTAAAGAGAACTTCCATGGTATGATTCCTTGTAGACATTAATTCTTAATTAATTCTTAATTAATAAGACATTAATTCCTTCTAGACATTGATTTAGCGGTTTTCATTGTTTCTTGAAATCTCACCTTCTTTACTTTTAATTTATATATATGTAAATAAAGTTAGAATCAACTGATTGGGGGCTTAATTATATTAGGAAACTCCATGCTTTAAAAATGAAGCATTTTGCTAAACTTTTGAATTAATGAAGAATTCTATTAGATATTTTATGCATTGCATTAAAACTGTGATTCAAATTTTACTTATATTGTTGGGTGCCCTAGAGGAATTAAATTAGGTTCTGTTACTTTAATGAAATAATAATTTTTTTTTTTAGAGCAGTCCACTTCTAGAAAATGACTGTTCATGCTCCAGGGACAAAGATAAAAGTGTCAAATGTTAAATGTATTCTGTAACTGAAAAGGAAATGACTTTTAACTTGATGACAGACATAGCCTGCAAGAGACTTCTTAACAAGAATCTTAAGCACTCTTTGCATGTTACCTTTAGGCCGGTACTCAAGAAAAACCTTCACATTTATACCATACCCCTACTTCTTGGAGATTACTCATCACAATGGGAATGGATTGTTTTGAAGAGTACTATGCTTATACAAATTGGATCTATTTTTCTTTTTTAACTTTCTAATAAACCCAACAAAATGTTTTCATTTCCCTTGACTTTTTAGAGTGCGTTGGTATTTCCTAGGAAAATATCAACCGAACAGCAGTCTTTGGTGTTAGTAAAGAGACTCCTAGCCATTTCAGTATCCTGTATCACATATTTGAGAGGAATATTTCCAGAATGTGCTTATGGAACAAGATATCTAGATGGTAACATATTTTTAAACTTTCTTTTAAATGTTTTTAATTTTGCCTGCTCTAAAAAATGATATATATTTTTGTTAACTTCATTCTCTTTTGCTCCAGATAGAGATCAATAGTTGTATTTAAAACTGTAAATTGTTGAATTTGAAATGTTAAGTCTGTTGTCTTTCAATAATAGGTTTAACCTGTGAACCTGTTTCTGTCAAATCAACTCAGGTTCATAGTGACCCTATAGGACAGAGTAAAATTGATCCATAGTGTTTCCAAGGCTATCTATGTTTTAGAGGATCAGACAGCCACATTTTTCTCCTGTGGAGTGGCAGGTGGGTTCAAACCTCTGACAACTTGACAACAGTCAAATGCTTTAACCACTGTGCCACTAATGTTCCTAATAATAGCTTTAGTGAGGTATCATTCACATACCATAGAATTCACATATTTAAAGTACTCAAGTCAATGTTTTTTAGTATATTCATGGAGTTGTGCAGTTTTATTCCACAAAGAAATCTCATACCAATTAAAGCACTCCCCATATTGCCCAAGGCCTCTAGTCCTAGGCAACCACCAATCTACTTTCTGTCTCTACAGTTTTCCTATTCTGAACATTTAATATAAAAGGGATCATATAAGATATTGTCCTATGTGACTATAGTTTCTTTCCGCTGGCGTAATGTACTGAGTTCACCCATATCAGTATTGCATTTCACTGCTTTGTTGGATAATATTCCATTATATGGATAGACTACATTTTATCTAGCCATCACTTGATTAATATTTGGGTTGTTTCTACTTTTGGAAATTATGAATAATACCACATTTGTGTATAATTTTTTTGTATTCACATAAGTGGCTTTTAAAAAGCATATTCAGTAAATATGCTTGAAAATTTTCCCTCAATTTCTCAAGTATTACCCAATATTACTCTTATACACTTACACTTCATTTATCAATTATCTCGTTACCTGACATATCACATTTATGACAATAGTAAAAGAACAACTGTTTTGTACATTAATGTATGCCGGTAATGAACACTGAAGTGTGAAGCTGTAGTGCTGACTGTTATGTCTAAGGTCATACCTCTACTTGGCTGGTATATGACTGCCGGTAGTTTGGTAGTTATGCAATGATATAGTTATCCTTATGTTATCAGGAGAGACCAGTCCCTGAAAAAAAAGGACATTGTGCTGGTAAAGTAGAGGGGCAACAAAAAAGAGGAAGGCCCTGGACAAGATGGATTGACACAGTGGCTACAAAAATGGCCTCAAGCATTAAGAACAATTATGATGATGGCTCAGGACCAGGCAGTTTCCTATGAGTAAGAACCAACCCAATGGCACCTAACAGAACAAAACACAGGCATCCTCCATTTTCACACATGCTCATTTCTAAGTAATGGCCCAGTCTTTGGAAGTTTTATGACATGATGATGAAGCCAAGAGATAAAAATTATCTATTACTTTCAACTTTGTCCGATATTATCTTTTTTGTGCTATTTTACCAGAGTAAAAGTAATACATCCAGTTTATACTATAATAACAATATCCCTATGTTGTATACCAACGATAAGCACGGTATTACTTTATGCATAGTTTCTTGTTAATTTATATTATAGTCATAGAAGGTAAATGCTATATGAGGGCTTCAAAACAATGGTGGAAAAATACATTATCTTTTAATTCCATTTATCCGTTAATATTTTGAAGCCTCCTTGAGTTATCTGTATTTTTCAGATAAGGAATCTGAGGCCGAGAGATACCAGAATGGGGAACCTTTTTCCTGCCAAGGGCCATTTAGATATTTATAACATCATTCTTGGGCCATACTGGTCAAGTATTTAAATAAATCACTCCTAATATGATGGTTGGAACTGATTCTCTTTGGTGAGAAATTGCTTTTCTTTGGTGAGGCCAGTGATATTAACTAGTATTGATGATTTGGGCTGGGCGTTTCCCACCCCTGTTTTAGTCCTTTCACTGTGTTGCTTGTCCCTTCTTTGCAGCATTCATTGCCTTTGAGAGCCAGTTTACATCTTGGCCCTTTACAAGTATTATCCTGGGGTTAGGGTCCATACAAGTATTCTAAGACTGGAATAATGATGGCATGAAAGATTTAGATCAAGTTTTATGTATTCTGTACCTTTTAAAAATGAAAATGTTCAAATTTTCTGCCCATCTACATGTATCTTAATCATTATGATACAATTTTATAAGAATAAAATACTATCTATTTCCATATAGCCTATCTTCCTTCAGTTATATGACTAATACCAATCATCTGGAAATTCATCGCCATTGATATACTTAGCATACATACAGCTGAAAAAAATCTGCATTATAATTTTCTAGTTGTTATGGTATCTAAGTACTATTCTTAAGATGATCTTTATATTATCATTTTTGTGTTTAGATCTTTGTGTCAAAATCCTCAGAGAAGATGAAAATTGCCCAGGAGCTTCACAGATCGTGAAATGGTAAGTAAAAGAAAACATAAACATATAATTTTTTCCCTTAAATCATTATTTTGGGACCTTGCATATCTTTTTATTGTTTAACCCAGTTTTAATGATCCCTCCTTTACCACTGGACACTTTGCATTTTTACATTCTGAATTTGCTTTTATTCATGACCATGTGAGCACAGTGTTTTCAGGCTCCATTTTCATATTATTGCTCTCTACAAGTAACTGTTAAGATAGCTTGTTTTCCTATAAACAATTTAAATTTCTGCTACATTGTTTTTTGTATTTATAACCTAGTTAATAAGGAGAGAAATTTTAATTAAAATTTTGTTGTATTCCTTAGTTATAAGGAAATATGGATTTTGTGAAAAGAATTTTATTTACTGGACATGCGTTCAGTTTGAAAAAGGAACTTTATTTTTTTTTAGGATGCTAGGATGCTATGATGCTTTACAGAAAAAATATGTAAGTTTTTTTAATTTTATTTTTTGTTTTAGAATTTACATTTCTAACAGCAGTTATCTGGTAGTAAAACATTTAACTTGGCAGGGTCCAATCTGAGTTATCAAGAAGTCTGAATATTTGAATATTTTAAAAACTAACATTAGCTCATTTAAAGCTAGTAGAATTAATATCAGACTAATTTTGCAAAGCCAATTTTGATTGTTTAAAGATGTACTTGTATTAATAACACATTAGCTTATGGAAATTAATTCTTTCAAAATACTTATTCACTTAGTTTCATATGCCTTTTTTAAATCGTTTTATTAGGGGTCAATGCCTTTTATAATCTTATTTTTATTATTAATAAAGTATTTCTTCTTAAAAGTTCAAGATGTCCATCTCCCCACTGCCGTAAGTTGATTCTGACCCCTAGAGACCTTTTGGGACAGAGTAAAAACGTTCCACAGGGCTTCCAGGACTGCACATCTCCAAGAAAGCAGACGGCCTCCCGTTTCTCCTAGGGAGGGGTTTGGCCTACCTGAAATCATCACAAATTCTGAATTAGTGAAATTTTAAATGTGAAGTTTTACTAAAGACTAGAGAAGTCTTTTTGCATATCATGAAGCTTATCTTCTGTAATAATTATTTATTAATTAGGAATAAATGACAAAATAGGAAAAATTCTTAAGATTTATTATGAAAAATTATTCTATAAAATTCAAGTAAGTTTTGTTCTTTGTTGTATTTCAGCTAAGGATGATTGTTCTAGCTGTAAGTATTAAAATAATATGTTCTTTTTGAAATATTATCAAATACTATCTTTTTAAAATACATATTTGGGCTACTTAAATAACAATGGCCCCACCATTAGATTATGTCAATTTATTCAAACAACTGATCTATTTATTAAAAAGCAAGTAACAAATAGTTTTTTGGCAGGGGTGTTGTTTACTTTTGTCTTGCTTCTGTCTGCTTTGCTTTGCTGACTTCACTTAATAAATTATTATGAATACTCTATTTGACAATTTAGCTCCTCTTCAATACATATCTGCAGATAACTCAATTGTAAATTATTTTTAAATAGATATACAACAATCCAGAAGACCCTCAGGTAGGTGTACATGAGCAGAGGTTTGTAAACTACTGATTTCTGGTTATTTACACTATTCCTTCTACAGAAGTATAAAAGCACTTAATGTTATGGAAAACAAGAAACTCATATTTAAAGTTTGAATATCTATCCCAATCTAGTCACATTCAACTATTCCACCTGATAAAGGAAAGATATGATGATAAGAAATGAAAGGGTTTCATTATATGTGGTAAACTTGTGTGCTGAGTAAATAAATTGAGAAGCTGGAATGCAAAAAAAAAAAAAGAATTGAAAGGGTAACGTAAGAAAAAATAGAAAAAAGAGCTATTGAGATACACATTGTTTTCAGTCCCTTTTACTAACTGGAGAAACAGACTTTAAAAGCTTAAATGATTTTCCTGTGATTATAACATAACACAGACTAAAGCTCTGTGTTTAGCCACTCTGCTGAGGGATGCTGCCTCCCTTATTTGCCTGCTAAGGTCTTTCCATCCAATATACATAATATACTCTATACTCAGTAAGTAGTATCTGCCCAAGAGGAACTCAAAAGTCCAGACCAGGGGGATAATCCACTGGTAGGACTTGAAAATTCAATGGATCAGTAAATTAACATGGCAGAAAAAAAATCATCAAATCAATGTTAAGAATCATATAAATGCAAAACATAGTCATTTGTAGCCTGTGCTATATATTAGATGGATAACTACAATGCTTTCTATTTAAGACAATTACAGAATGTTACCACTTTAAATTCAAGTATACCACTAATGGACCAGTAATGGACTTCCTAAGGTATTGTTCTAGAGTTTCTTTTTGTGTTGCAGACGATCATTTTACTAATATTATTATATAGCCAAATTTTAGAATTAATTCTAAAACTTCTCACACTTCCCAACTATCAAGGCATATAAAATAAATGTGGGGTAATTAGCTACTATGCAATTGTATAAATTGAGCCAAAAATTAGGAAACTACTGTCTGTTTGAGTGATTAGAAAGTTAGTTAGCATCCATCATTTGTATATTAACTTATGTAAAACTGAGTTATTAGTTTATAATAATGATGAAAAAACCCCGAAAAACCCACTGCCACTAAGTTGGTCACTCTATCTAGGGTTTCTTTACTATTATTATTATTATTTTAAAATCATTTTATTGAGGGCTCATACAACTCTTATCATAACTCATACATACATCAATTGAGTAAAGCACATTTGTACATTCATTGCCCTCATCATTCTCAAAACATTTGCTCTCCACCTAAGCCCCTGCATCAGCTCCTCATTTTCAAGGGTTCATTTTCAATAATTCAAGGGTTCATCAGCTCCCTCATGAACCCTTGAATTATTATTGATAGTGATTAATACATATATTAACTCATTCCATAGTCCAGTCACATCCAGCAGAATTGTACATTTGCTACCACAATCGTTTTCCAAACTTTATTTTTCTATTTGGAACCCTTGACATTGTCACCCCTTCCCCCACACCCACCTCTGTGCCCCCCTCCTGCCAAAACCACTTGTTGACTCCATAGGTTCGGCTGTCCTAATTTTCACATACCCCAAAGCAAAAAAATGTACCTCAACTTCATGAGGGTGATCCCCAATGACATAACACTTCTGTGATACCCCCTAATACATAGAATTAAAAACAAAACAGAACAACCCGTAAATACATAAAATTTTGGAAACCAGATCAGGCCCACCATGCATCATAAGGGGGATCTGCTGACAAGTTTTCACTGTTCAAGTCAGGCTTCTGCCTTTGACCTTCTATACCCAACTCTTCAGTGCATTCCATTTAGTAACCTCTTTCCTCCTCTCCCTCAATTGTGGATACAGGGAATTCACAGGAGGCTTATTTCCTATATAGTTTCTTGTGAGAGCAGATAGATGCACTTTTCTTCTTTGGAGCAGCTGGTAGATTTGAATCACCAGCCTGGCAGTTAGTTAGCAGGCTTAACACCAATAGCACCACCAGAGCTCCTTAGAATAATGATTTTAGTGGTGATATTACAAAAAAATTATATTAGTGATGCAAAAACCCATTTTATGGTAATTTCCAACTTCACATGCAATGCTGTAATAGGAATAAGATCTGAAAGAGTAAAAGAAATTGTGTGATTCTCTTCTAGTAAGAATTCAAACAGATCTGGTTTGTCATATGCTTACACCAAGAAAGCAAGTATTCTCCTTATCCGCAAGATTTATGTCCTAATGCAAAATCTGGGACCTCTGCCTAATGATGTCTGTTTGACCATGAAACTTTTTTACTATGATGAAGGTACTATTTTTAATATGCCCTATTTCAGTATCAGCAGATTTTAATATTATTCTAACAATTAAATTCTAATTTAGATAAATGTTTTAAAGCATTTAAATTGTTATATATTTTTTAGAAATTGTAAAATTTATATTTAATATCACAATTTGAAAAATAAAGATTTGATTAAGTAGGCTTTACAATAAATAATGTGAGGTACAAGCTCACTCATAATTAAACTTAATAGCAAAATACCATTTTAATTGGCAAGGATATGGGAAAGCAGGCATTTTCAGACACTTGGAGAAAGTGAACTAGGTGGCTTCAAAAACTGGAAACATGGAATTTCCATTAAAAGTTCATGGAATTTCCATGAATTCTTTGAAGTCCCCTTTTATATAGGTATAACATTTTTGGAAGACAATTTGGCAGTATGAAAATTTTGAAAACTCCTTCTATTTAATCTATAAGGTCTTAGCTAAAAAAATATCTTGAGAAAATACGTGCACAAATATGCAAGGTTTTGTTTTATAAGAATGCTCATTATAACATTGGTTAAGATAGGAACAAACTGGAAACAACCTAAATGCTTTTCATTGGATGATTGAATAAATTATGTTGCTTCTATCTAATAAACTCACTGCCATCGAGTCAATACTGACTCATAGTGATCCTATAGGACAGGGTAGAACTGCCTCTATGGGTTTCTGAGACTATTAACTCTTTAAGGGACTAGAAATTTCCATCTTACTCCAGAGGAGCAGCTGGTAGTTTCAAACTGCTAGTAGCCCAATGCTTAACCATTATGTCATCAGGGCTCATCCTATATAACAGAATACTATAAATCTATTTAAAAGAATGTGCTGATAAACTAAGTTATCCAGAAGATATTGTTAAGTAAAAATGAAGGGGGAGGGGGTAAGTACAGAAGAGTATGTTCTCATTTGTATTTTTAAGGCCATAAATATGAAATAATATTTTAAATGCATAATATCTTCTAGCAGTACATAAAAACAACAATAATAAAGGCAACATATGTCCTAGCTCTGTTTTAAGCATTTTATTCATGTTAATTCATTTAATGCCCACAATAAACCAAAAGGTTCTTCTATTGTTGATGAGTCTATTTTGACTCATAGCAAGTCTATAGGACAGAATAGAACTGCCCAAGCCGATCATCTTTACAGAATCAAACGGCCACATCTTTCTCCTACTAAGCAGCTGGTAAACTTGAACCGTCATTTTTTGGGTAGATGAGTACTTTAGCCAATGTGCCGCAAGTGTTCCTTCCCTACGAGGGAGGTTAGTAATGTATATTCCCCATGAGACAGAGGAGGAAATCTAAACGATGATACATAGAATTTTCTTAAGGTCAAATAGTCAATCAAGAGAAGAAAACAAATTAATTTTAGGGAATAAAATAGATTTAAGAGCTTGTAAACCCAAAACAAAACAAAGCCCTCTAACGTAAGTGGATTCTGACTCCTAGGAACCCTATAGGATAGAGTAGAACTGCCCGTTTGGATTTCTGAAGTTGTAAATCTTTCTCAAAGCATAAAACCTCATCTTTCTCGTGAGAAGCAATTGTGGAGTAACCCACAATGCTACCAGAGCTCCTTGGAGATAGTAAGAAGGTGGTTTTTATTGTTTCTTTTATACTATTGGATGGCAGTGGATTTGATACTATTTGCAAAGGAGCTTTGATGGTGCTGTGGGTTAGAACCCACGAACCACTCTATGGGAGAAACGTGTCAGTCTTTTTCCAAAAAAGATTATAGCTTGGAAACCCTTGGGGGGGAAGCAGGGAAGTTCCTACCTAGTTTCTATTAGTCAGAATCAATCTGCAATGAGTTTATTGGCTTGTTTTTTTATACTATTGGAAATTTCTTCGATTTGCATGTATTTTTATAACAATATTTTTCTTCAGTTTCATAAAAAGTACAAATTTACCCTGAATTTTTTTTTCAGTTACACCACCAACTTACCATCCTCCTGGTTTTAAGAATGGTGACTGTGATGGAGTGTTATTTGACGGAGATCCTATGTGTTTAAATGTGGGTGAAGTCCCAACACCTTTTCACACCTTGAAAGTAAAAGTGACCACTGAGAGCGAACGAATGGAATCGGCTGTAGTGAAACCAAAACTATCATTAAAAACTCCTCTTTATAAAATCCTAATGGACAAAGATGATATAGAAGATGAACGGGAACATTATGTAAATGTAAGGATTTAAAGCATTTTAAAGTACAAAGGGGCTTCAAAAAGTCTGTGGGAAAATTCCATTATCTTTTTTTCTCTTTCTCTTTTTTTAAAAATCATTTTATTGGGGGCTCGTACAACTCTTGGCAGTCCATGATACTTTTGATATTCTTCACCATAGTTCAATGCATCAGGTCTTCTTCAGTCTTCCTTATTCAGTGTCCAACTTTCACATGCATCTGAGGCAAGGAAAATACTGTGGCTTATGTCAGGCACACCTTAGTCCTCACAATAACTTCCTTGCTTTTTAACACTTTAAAAGGGGTCTTATACAGCAAAGTTACTTAATGGAATATGTCTTTTGATCTCTTGGCTGCTGCTTCTATTAGCTTTGATTGTGGATTCAAGCAAGACAAAATCCTTAATAACTTCCATCTTTTCGCCATTTAGCATGGTGTTACCTATTGGTCCAGTTGTGAGAATTTTAGTCTTCTTTATATTGAATTGTAATACATTCTGAAGGCTGCAATTCTTGATCTTCATCATTAAAGACTTCAATTCCTTCTCACTTTCAGCAAGCAAGGTTGTGTCATCTGCACATTGCAAATTAATAACTCCTGCAATCCTCATACTTTGTCATATTATTTGCTTGGCATACAAATTATATAAATATGGTGAGAAGATACACCTTGACAAACACCTTTCTTAATTTCAAACTGTGTAGTATTCACTCGTTCTGTTTGCACAACTGCCTATTGATCCATGTATAGATTCTGCATAAGCACAAAGAAGTATTCTGGAATTCCCCGTTCTTCTCAAGATGATCCATAATTTGCTATGATCCATACAAGTTGAATTTCTTTACATAGTGAATGAAGCACAGTGATCTATCTCTTATTCCAGGTCCTCTTCTGAGTCCAGGCTGAATTTCTGACTCAGTCTGACTGTCAATGGACAGTCATGCAACCATTGTTGGATGATCGTCAGAAAAATTTAACTTGCATTTGATATTGTCTGTAATTTTCACATTCTGTTGGATCACCTTTCTTTGGATCTATTCCTGTTAGCTGTCTCTCAAATTTCTTGTCATGATTGAGTACTTACAATGCCTCATCATCTTGTTGAAACAATTCAATTGGGATTCCATCATTTCCTAGAGGCTTGATTTTGGGTAATGCCTTCAGTGTACCTTGCAATTCTTCCTTTAATACCATTAGTTTCTGCTCATATGCTAAACTTCTGACATGGTGAATTGTCGACTAATTCGTTTGGTACAATAACTCTGTATTCTTTCCTTTTTTGTGTGCATCATTCAATATTTTGCCCAAAGACTCTTTTAAGATTGCAACTTAAGACCTGAATTTTTTCTTGAAATTTTTCAGTTTAATATATGATGAGTTGTCCTTCCTTTTTGAATTTCTAACTCTAGGTCTTTGTATATTTTGCTATAATATTTATTTTGTCTTCTTGAGCGGCCCTTTGAAATTTTCTGTTCAGTTCTTTTGCTTCATCATTTCTTCCATTTGCCTTAGCTACTTTATGATTACCAGCAAGTCTCAGTCTCTTCTAACATCCACTTTGATCTTTTCTGTCTTATAAAAAATTATTAGTTCAGACAACAGAAAAGTGGGTGAAGGGAGATGTTGGACAGTGTAAGATATGACAAAATAATAATAATTTATAAATTATCAAGGGTTCATGAGGGATGGGGTTCGGGGAGGGAGGGGAAAAATGAGTTGATACCAAGGGCTCAAGTAGAAAGCAAATGTTTTGAGAATGATAGCAACAAATGTACAAATGTGCTTGACACAATGTATGTATGGATGGATTGTGATAAGAGTTGTATGAGCCCCCAATAAAATAATTTAAAAAAACAAATAAAACAAGAATTACTAGTCGGAATTCCAAATTTCAGTCACATCAAGTAGAATGTACAATTGCTACTACAATCAGTTTCCAAACATTCTTTTTCTACATGGACTCCTTGACAATCTCCCTTTCACCCCACCTCCACCACTGTGACCCCTCCCCCAATCCTTCTGTTCTACTTGCTGCCCCTTTAGGCTCATCTATCCTGAGTTTCATACACTGAAAAATGAAAAAGCATATATATAGCACAGCTTCAAGAGGGTGATCTCCATTAATGACCCTTTGCTTTTTTCATGTGTAATGGTCTTGTCATCTCACAGCTCTATCATTAGTCTTCTGTCTTTAGTGTTCGTCTGTCATTAATGTTCAATGCATCAAATCTTTTCTTGACCTGTTTTAGAAATTTGGTGGGATATACTCAAGATCAAATTTTAGCTCTCATAGACTTGTTTAAATTTTCTTCAATTTCATCCTAAACTTACATATGAGCTATTGATGGTCTGTTCACAGTCAGACCTGGGCCTCCTTTTAGCTGCTGATATTGAGCTTCTTTATTGTCTTGTCTCAGAGATAGTTAATTTAATTTCTGTGTATTCCATGTGGAGAACTCCATGCATATGGCCACCTTTGTGTTGTTGGAAAAGGGTATTTGTTATGAACAAGTCATTGATCTTGCAAAATTCTATCATGTGATCACCAATTTTGTTTATGTCACCAAGGCCATATTTTCCAATTATTCTTCCTTCCTCTTTGTTTCCAACTTTTACCTTTCAACTGCCAATAATTATCAATGCATCTTGATTGCATGTTTGATCAATTTCAGACTGAAGATGTTGGTAGAATTCTTCAATTTCTTCCTCAATTGCTTTAGTGGTTGGTGCATAAATTGAAATAATAATTATATTTATTGAATTTCCTTGTATGCAGATAGACATTATCCTATCACCAAAAGTGTTGTATTTCAAGGTAGATCTTGAAATGCCCTTTTTGACAATGAGTGCAAAGCCATTCCTCTTGATTGTATCATTCCTGGCATAGTAAAAAATTTTCTGATTTAAAATGGCCAACATCCGTCCATTTCAGCTCACTAATACAAGAATATTGTTCTTTATGCTTCCATTTCTTTTTTATGACTTCCTGTTTTCCTATATTAGTACTTTGAACATTCCACATTCCAAGTATTAATTGACATTGCAGCTATTTCTTCTCGTTTTGAGTTGTGCCCTCTCAGCAAATGAAGGTCTGAAAGGCCTTACTCCTGTAGGCTTTACTCCAGCTGCATCATTATGGTCCACTGTACTTTGAGAAGGCAGCTCCTTATCAGTCATATTTTGGAGTGCCTTCGAACCTGAGGGGCTCATCTTCTGCCACTATCTCTGGCAGTGTTATGCTTCCATTCAGTAGGTTTTCAGTAAATGACAATGTGTCAATGCTACCCATAAGTTTTCAGTGGCTAATTCTTCTGAAGTGGGCAGCCTTTTTCTTCCTGTCTGTTCTGAGTCTGGAAGCTGTGCTGAAACCTGTTCACTTTGGGTGACCCTGCTGGTATTTGGAATACCAGAGAGCAGAGCTTTCAGCACCACAGCAACACACAAGCCACCAGAGACAAACTGAGACAAGTGGCAGAAAGAATGTTTAAACCCGAGGCTTTTCAAACTTTTTACCTTGTTCTAAACACTATACTCAGAAACTTAAAAAATCCAACCATTCTGATTGAAGGAGAGGTTTGTCTAGAGACCAAGCAACTCATCGTGGTATTTACTCTTATAGTAGGAAACCCCTAGAACTCTGGATCATAAGTTGAAAACCACTGAACCATTCCCCAAACCAATGCTAGAGTCCTTTCTACAACATACCTCATGTAGCTTGTGGTGGAATTCCTCTGAGGTCTAGAAAGTCATTTGCCTGGAGCAGCCTGAAAGTGGAAGTGCCTGAAAAAGAGGAAATATGTCTTACTAATTTTTATAACTCTCTTCTTCCTACCTAGCACTTAGATTTACAATTAATGGGTTCTCAATATTGCCGGAATGAATGAAGTATAAAAGTGTTGAGGTGGTTTTGTTTGCCTCACCAGCCAGCATGAAAGCTAGCATTGCTTGCATCGTTTAGCATTAACATGATGTTCTTATGAGCACATACAAAGGTACAGAGGCTGATTCTTAATGAACTAAGAATGGCCACATCTTGACAAATAAAGAACTCAATTTTCCACCAATTCAGTGAAAAAAGCTTTTCCCCAAAACATAAATTCCAGTAGTAGTCTCTAAGTGCATGTAACTGGGTCCTATATAGCATTCTTTGAAATATTTAAAGTTCTTTGACATATTACTTAAAGGGAACAATAATTATAATTAGATATTAAACCTTTTACTAGTCCTACTTATACTAGGACAGAGCTGCACTGACTCCCTGAAGAGAGTTGGAGTATATTCAAAGTGTATAACTATCATCTGTACAGAAATTCCAAAATCATAGAAGTTGTTGGGTATTCAGTGCTCTCAAACAATAATAGCAAACAATGGCTGTTTAAATCATTAGACATTTTTGAGAAACATATATTTTTCTCATTTATCCTTAAAGCAATTCCCACAAAGTAAAGAAAAACAAGATTTTATTCATTGGATAAATAAATAGCTATTTTATAGTAATTATGGGATCAGTTATTTTAAACATATTTAAGGTAGTTGTAGGTTGTGTTTTATTTAACTTTAACATAAAACAAATTTATTCATAAATACTTCCACCCCAGTGTTTTAATTTATTTTTAAAATATGTTCATTTTTTTCCGTATAATTATGTAGGATGGTTTTGACACTGAAACTAAAATGGAAGAGCAAAGAAAACAACCTGGATCATTTGATTTGGGAGGTAAGAAACTAATGAAAATATAGCTTAAGTCACTTCCAATTAATTTTTTATCATCCTAATTTTTTTTTTCTTTAGAGCCTAACTTGGTTTGTGTAGAAGATGAAATGAAATCTAAGGAAAGTGCAGATATTTCAACTTCTCATTATAAGGTATAAACAACTTTTACTTTTTAAGATATTATTTTATTGTGATTAAATAAATATAAAATTTACCCTTTTGGTTATTTTTAAAAACACAATTCAGTGACATGAATTATATTTACAGTATTCTTAGTCATTATACACTGTTTCCAAAAATTTTCACTATGAACTCTGTGCACTCATTAAGCAGTCATTCCTCATTTCTCCTTTCCCACCTCCTGTTAGCCTCTAATCAACACCCTACTTTTATACATCAGCTTAATCTGCAAAATTTATCTAAGTGAACTCATACAAGATTTGTCCTTTTTTGTTTGACTTCTTTTACATTACATTTTCAAGGTTCATCCATGTTGTAGCACGTAATCAAAAGTTCACTCCTCTTTGTGCCTGTATCCTATTCCATTTTATAGACTTACCACATTTTGTTTATCCATGAACTTGATAGACATTTGAATTGTTTTCTACCTGATAGCTATTGGGAATAATACTGCAGCAATTTTGGTTTATACAAATATCTGTTGAGATCTTACTTTCAGTTCTTTGGGCTATCTACCTCAGATTGGAAGTACGGGGTCATACAGTTACTTCATGTTTTGCTTTTGGAGGAACTGTCAACCTGGTTCTCCCAGCAATCCATTTTACTTTTAACTTTTTTTTAACTGTTGTTTATATGTTTGCTTAGTTATTTCTTTAATGAGCCCTAGTGGGGCTGTTAGGTAAATGTTGGATTGCTAAACATAAATACTGAGGTTTGAACCTACCAGCTGTTCCACAGGAAGAAGATGAGAATGTCTGTTCCTTCAAAGATTTACAGTCTCAAAAACCCCATATATGGTGGCTATGAACTCTCAAAAGAAATACAGCCAAGCATCTATAGACACCGGATTTTTGATAAGGGACTAAAGCACATTCAATGGAGAAGAGAGAGTCTTTTCAACAAATGGTACTGGAAAAACTGTATCTCCACCAGCAAAAGAATGAAACGGGATCCATACTTCACACCACATAGGAAAACCAAACTCAAGATGTATTAAATATTTAAACATAAGCCCTAGAAATATAATGATCATCATAGGGACAAACTTAAGGTCCCTAATACAAAGCATAAATACACTGCCTAACATAATGGAAAACACCTACACTACAGAAGACCTAAACATCTCTAAAATAGACGATTGAGACCTCCTAAAATGACATGTGCGTACATCAAAAGATAAAATAATAATTTATAATTATTAAGGGTTCATGAGGAAGGGGGGAGTGGAAAGGGAGGGGGAGGGGAAAAAGGAAAATGAGCTGATTTCAGGAAC